AAAAGATAGGATGCAACTGTCTAGCCAGTCATGCCACAAAAATGCAGTTTACTATCACAAGACAGAGAGAGGCGGAGACTTAGAAATAACTAGGGTGTGTTATTTTAGAATTAAAAGCTGCAAACAGCAAGCAGTTAATTAAAAGTTGCTCTTTTAAAAGAAGATAATATTAACAGGTCACTATTTCCCAAAATTAAAAAGAGAGATGTGAACTGTGGGGAGGGAAAATTAGCTTAGATTTCTAAACAGATCAGTGCAAGTTTGGAAAATTTAAAGTTTTGTAAAAGAGAAAAAAAATGTGTGTCGGTTGAGTGTATCAATTGTAATTATGACTTTTGACCCATGAACTTTTCACACTTAATTTACCGTACATAACTTCAGTCACTGAAGTTAACACACATGCAGCAGAGGAACCATTCAGGCAAAACAGCCTTGAAATGCAACTGACAGCCCAATCACCTAGTTTTATAATCCACAGATCAAGACAAATTTTGCTTTAAAACCCTAAATGGATATTTCCAGGTGTTGCTGCTCATTCACTTCCCAGGAACGGAAGTTTAGTGAGCTGTTTACATGTGACTCATAGTGGGTGTGGGTGTGTACATACGCAAGAGTGAGAGAGGAATAAATGAGCTAGTGCTTCAGCCAGAGAAACCTGCCTACGTGAAGCAGAGAGCTGCCTGCATGGACTCCCTTTCCCAGCTAGTGAAACCAAATCCAAGTCCCAAAACACACCCTCATGCTAAATAAAGTCCCAACTCCCACATGCTGTTTGGATTAGCCTGCCTCATGCGGCAGACGAGGAACAAGAGCTCTCTCAGAGCGATGTTTAAAAGGGGTCTGCTCAGAACTGCCATTTGCTCAGAACTGCCATATGGAATGGAACACAAGAACAAGCTGCATAGTTTGCTTCTTCTTAAGAGATAGGAGGTGCATACTATTATCTGCAGCTAGTGTAATACAGTCCCACCTTCCAGATACAGTGTTAACCCCAGATTTCCTAGGAATAGAGAGACAAGGTGGGTGTGGTAATATCTTTTATTGAACCAACTTCTTTGAAGATAAGCTCTGTCTAGCTCAAAAGCTTGTCTCTTTCACCAACAGAAGTTGATCCAATATCAACATAGCCACATCAACACTGCAAACAACTATGAATAGATAGTAATTACATGCCAGGAAGTTAGGAAAGTCTGACATGACAGTGACAGCACTGGGGAAATCCCTGAAGGAGCGAGCAGATTATTGAACTGGATGTGAAAGACTCTGAAACCAGTGCCAGAGACGGGCAGATCAATGGGGGTAGAAAAGGATTTAGGGGACAACACACAAATCTATCCATATAGTTTAAGCCAGTTATCCTTAAACCTCAGACTTTAAATTATGAGAAGGGTTGGTGTGTGATAAGATACATAGCACCATCTCTCCTTCCGCCATACAAGATGTTATACAACAGTCTGAAGTTCCCTGATTCACTTTCTGAACATCCAACCTGTCTCATCTCTTCTCCCAATTCAAGCTTCTCTCCATGTCCCCTTTTTGGACTTGAGGAAGCCTGCTTCTCTAATAATAATCAGTTACACACCGCAGGCTCACATCGCAAAGACCCAGGACAGACAATCCAATCTGAATGTCACTTTCTGCAATGCGATCATCCACCTAACGGTCATTTTATTAGCATGACACATGTGCAATTGGAGGATACATTTAACACTGTGCATCTATGGACTGGTTTCACACTGCTGATGGCGCTTGACTGTCTGTCATGAACTATCCCAATGATACCAACTATAGATCAGAGGCCACACCTATTTCAAGCTGACAGCATATTTACAAGGATAATTACCAGTACACAAAAGAGTGCATGAAGGGGAGGATTTCTGGACATAACATGCTTTTACTACAAGGCCCAAACCCAGCAGTTCCCAAAGCACATATTGGAACCCATCATTTTATTGTGCTTAATTTTTTTTTTCTAATTTCCCTTTAGAGTGATAAATCGAGAATAAACTTGTGAGTCCTTTGTCATTCCCCTTCTCTGCTGTCTGCATTTCAACCAAGGAACCAACTAGTAGACATCAGTTGTCTTTTAACACATGGTCTGAAGTGGGACTCAAAGAATGGACACTCCAGGTTAAGCCTCCTTCTTCCGTGACCACACAAAACACGAGTCAATTGCCCCAATCAGATACACAGTACAACTGTATTCAAATCTTGCTAGAAACTAAGCCCAAGAAACACTTCAAGAATATCAAATATTAGGTTATGTAATTGGCAAAACAGCAACACTACACTAATTAACAAATTTAAAAGCCTTTTACAAGGTTTTTAGAGAGGCACAGAACTGTATTCATAACCCCGCTTGTCTGCTTTTCTAACACTGAGATATTGCACATAAAGTCAGTGGGAGGCGAAGGCAGAACTTGGCCCATTGCATTTACTATACAACCACTTCCTTTTAGAGGCAAGCTCAACTGTTCTCAGAAAGAACCTGCTTTTCAAAATACATCTTGCTTCCACTTTCTGCACTGAGTTATTTCTGATTATTGTTTGTAGTGTTACTGTAGCGAAGCTGATGCCAGGATATTAGAGAGACAAGGTGGGTAAAGTAATATATCTTTTATTGGACCAGCTTCTTTCGGTGAAAGAGAAAGAGGAGAAGCACTAGGCACCTGCCTGAAGAAGAGCTCTGTGTAAGCTTGAAAGCTTCCTCTTCCACCAGCAGAAGTTGGCCCAATAAAAGATATTACCTCTCCACTTTGTCTCTCATTTCTGATTAGTCATTTGAAAATCCATTTAATAGACATTCAGATTCCATTAAGATAGCTATGTCTATACCCGGGATGTTTCACCAACATTTTCCAAAGGTTCATTGCACCAGTGGGATCCCCTGCATAAGCAAGTTTCCTGTGGCCAAGACTCACTTTTAAAACCATTTTAGTTAAACTTTCTGTAAGCTCATGTACTTGGAAGAGTTTTTACAACAGGTTCAGCCACAGGGAGCCTGTCCACACTAGGCCCCCCATCAGTGCAGCGGAAGCAATGGGAACTTGTGTACCATTTTCCTAGTGTAGCCAAGACTGTGTTTTTTTGATTCCAGACAATGATTTGCTTTCTATATACACACTGCAACAATTCCATACCTAGAGCTTTATCAGCATATATCAACTTCTGCA